GAGGCATCGCAGACACTTGGAATCCATTTGAGGAGGCACTGTGTATCTGCGAGAGTGAGAGAGAGTAGAGAGAAGCGAAGGAGAGGCACTGTGTATGAGAGAGAGAGAGAGGAGAGAAACAGTTTGTGTCCAAGCCCTAACACAATACACATATATTATATATATAAACGGGGGTATATTAGTAATTTCATATCGGGGAACCGGGGCGGGGATCGGGATCGGGGATCGGGGCCGGGGTCGGGCCGGGGCGGGGCTTGAACACTGATCACCGTCCCCGGCCCCGAACAGATCGGGGATTGATTTTCAAATACCGTCCCCTCCCCGTCGGGGGTATTTTTCGGGGAAAAACCGCTAAAATCGGAGTCGGGATCGGGGATCCCCGTCGGGCCAATTTCAAATTGCCATCCCTAGGACGAACCTACTTCCTGCGAAATGCAACAAAAACCATAATAAATAAATTAAAAAAAGTTTTAACACTAAAGCTTCGTTTAGCCTTTCATTTTTGATTAGAAAAGTACCAAAAAAAAAGGAAATTGGTATAAGTTAATAAGACAAAATATCACATTCAAACTATAATTATTATATTTTTCTCATAAAAGTTAAAAATAAAAAAAGTCAAACCAAACGAGGTTAAAAAAGTCAATGCCAAACGAAGACTTAGGCTATGTTTGACATAAACTTTTTGGGCTAAAATAGTTACAAAAATATAAAATAGACTAAAAAGTCAATAAAATAAAATGTCACATCTAAATAATAATTATTATTTTTTTCTTATAAAAATAAAAAAAGTCAAAAAAAGTTATTTTAAATAAAACTTTTTAGTTTCAGACTTAAAAAAACTAAAAAGTCAATCCATATCAATGCTTAGAACACAAATTAAAGACATACATGAGTAGGTCTTACACAAAGATAGGAATGGAAGAAAATGAGAACCTAGTGGTCATGGACGATGCATCCGACTCTGACCTAACTTAGCCTCGCTTGGCAAGTAATTGTTTTGGCCTAAAAGTCAAAAAATTATTAAAAAAATTAAAAAGCCTAAATCTATACCAAAAAGTTAAAGATTCGATTTTATCTCTACTTTTTGCATATTTTTTCGTAAAAAAGTCATAAAGTCACCCAAAACATACTAATTTTTTTTATTCCATATTTTAACTAAAAATTTAAAAAATTACTAAAATAACATGTTCTCAAACGAGGTGTTAAGACACCTGCTAGTTGCTGATTTGCTTGGGGTTATTTAGAATAAAGATTTGGACCCCCTTTGACCCCTTTTTTTTTATTGGTCACTTTTTTCTTTTCTTTTCTTTTCTTTTTTTTTTTTCTTCTCCTCCAATCACCACCCGCCACGTGTGTGTGGGGGGTGGTGGGGGTTGAAGTTTGAGGTGGTCTAAATCACTGCTGGGGTTATTTATAAGAGGGAAACTTTTCATGAGTCAAAGGACTGGAATCTTTTTTCTTTTTCTTTTTCTTTTTTTTTTAATTTTTAAATACAACAATAACAACAATAATTAAGACCCCTTTTTTGAGACCCCACAACTTTTTTTGAATCTTAACCATTGATGGTGTGAGCCCCACACATACATGAGTGAGTCTGTACATACATCAATGGTTGAGATCTAAAAGAAGTTGTGGGGGTCTCCAAAAAAAGGGAGTCCCAAGTATTTTTCCAACAATAATTCAATGTTATTACGATACACAATATTATCGCGCAGGAACAAATTATCATATATATAAAATAAATATACATGTATAAGAATTATTTTAGAACACGTAGCTACATTGGAATAATGGGATTCGCACTATTTTATGTATAATTTAGAAAAAAAAATTACCATTCAGTGGTAATTTTAAAAACTTATTATAGATTTATGAAAATATTTATAATTTTAATTATTAATATTTATAAAGTTTACTATTTATTTATAATAATTTTTCGAAATATGCACTGCACTTATTCCCTATAATTTATTATTATTAATTGGTGAAATGATGTGAATATATAATTTTTTAGGAACAATTACAAGGGGAAAAAAAATCAAGGTTTTAGCCTAGTAACAAAATAAAAAAAACTTGCAATTTTGTCAATTTAAATTTTATTCTTTTGATTTATTTTCAATCTAAATCATTAGTTTTTTTTTTTTTTTTTTTCATTAAGTAACATCAATGGAAAAAAAGAATGTTACTCATTAAACTCAATGTAGGTATATATAAAATGTCTAAAATTTCATTTTCATTGAGTTTAATGATTAAAATATTTATTTTTCTATCGATTTTATTTGACGAAAATAAGCAAATGGTTTAGATTGAAAACAAACCAAAAGTTTAGGCTTCGTTGGGTTGTGTTTTGAAAACATAATTCTACACCTACATTTGAATATCATGTTTTGTAGGAGTTTTGGAATCAGTTTTCCAAAACTCTGCAGAGAACTCTGTCTCAGGCGCGCTTTTCAGAATTTTTTTTTTTTTTTGCAAATTTTTGCCTAACCGGTCGTCCGGCCGGTTGACCAGAATAGTGAATTTTTTTTTTGCAATTGATATGTTAATTTTTATATAATTGAAAAAAATATTTTCTGAATTTTTAAAAAAAATTTATGTGCTTTAAAATAATTTTGAGTTGTATGTTTGGTTATGAGTTGTAAATTTTTATATCAAATATCAAATGTCACATCAACAATTCCCCACTCAAATCAAAACTCTTTTCAAAATTATTTTAAAATCTCTTTACCAAACAAATTTTTCACACTCAAATCATAATTCCAAACCTCACAAACTCAAAATACAACTCATACTCTCAAATCATAATTATAAAACTCTACCAAACGCAACCTTAGGTTTTGAATTAATAAAATTAAAAACTCGGAATTTATTTTATTACAAGAAACTCTAGGGGTTTTTTTTTTTTTAATATAATTTTTCCAATTTTTTATGTCATATATGTAATTTTTTCTTTAAATTACACTAACCTCTCTTGAACTTTGGAGAAAATACAATAAATTCC